AATTCAAAATAAATCAAAAATTAAAAATTGGACCAACGTTTTTGAAAGTTAAACTATTAAAGATTGAAATTAAATTTGAATGCAATTTTACCGTGTAAAGTTTGACGTTAAAATTTGACGTATTTTACCGTGTAAAGTTTGACGTTAAAATTTGACGTATTTTACCGTGTAAAGTTTGACGTTAAAATTTGACGTATAAAAGAAAATATATGTGTGTATTGTTATGTGAACTTTGTTATCATAAAAATTTAATTTATAAATTTATGATATGTTGAATAGAACAAAATCAAATGATAGGATGAAATTTTTTTTTTAGCAAATATTTGGATAAAATTTCATAACAAAAAAATTTGAATAAATGACAATTTCTTTAAATGATAAATCATAAGATTATAGTATATGTGAATTGAATGATAATTTTTTAAATGATAAATTATAAGATTACAGTATATGTGAATTGAATGATAATTTCTTTAAATGATAAATTATAAGATTACGGTATATGTGAACTGAGTGATAATTTCTTCAAATGATAAATTATAAGAATACAGTATACATGAATTGAATTGTGGTAAAATAAAAAAAAAAGAAAGAAAAAAAGTAAATTGAATTATGTGACATTCAATGTTAGATGATATATACTATAAAATAATACCTTATTATTCTTCATATGAACAATAACATTACTTTCGATAGCTTGTTGTACAGGTTTCTGCGTAAAGAAATCACGTAACAGTTTTGATTCTTCCTCACGTCCTTCACGTTTCTCTAAATGTTCTGCGACACGATTCATTGATATCATTACCTGTTCAAGTGCTAAAAATTTGGATAATATTTAGTGTTATGAATGCTAAATTTTAAATATATTAGGAATATTTTATCAATAAATATTGCTTAAATTAATCGTTCCACATAACAAAATAATTTGAATTATTTTCACATAATTAATATCTTTTCTGATAACAAAAAAACAAAAGGTAATTATTTAATGATTAATTAATATAAATTAAAATTAAATCAACAAATATTTATGCATATATTCAAATATTCAAATTAAATCAACAAATAAATCAACGATTAATTTCAATTATTTTCACGTAATTAATACTTTTACCTAATAACAAAAAAAAAGTAATTATTTAATGTTTAATTAATATAAATTAAAATTTTTACACTTACGAATTGGTTCACTTTCATTCATACTAGTACTGTCACAAAATGTGTCACCAGCTATGTAAGCATTATTTGCATAACCAGTTTCGATTACGGTGCAATTTGAATGAGCATCATTTTTACACCCCGATAACTCCTTCCTTCCGTTACTTTTGCAATTTTCAAGCAATAGCAATTTTCTGGAACCTCGTAATGATTCCCTGAAGATAAACGATTGATCATGAAGATGCTTGGAATATTCCCCCGCTCGTTTTCCTATCCTCTCTTTCCCCGCCATTTCAAAAATGATTCACTCTCAAATTATCGTATATTATCAATTTTTTTCTTCTTCCTTTTTTTTCCCCCCTCCTGTTATTTTAACTTTAATTGGGAAAAAAATTAAAAATCGTTGAATTAAATTAGTAAATTAGGAATTCTATTTTATTTTTTTTGGATAATTTACTAATATATCGGATTAATCCCACGATTAAATGAATAACGAAATATCCGATAATAAAATTTTTCAAACCCATCCTAAAAAAAAAAAGGTCCTGAAACAGGACGGAAAAAAAAAAGAAAATAATATCATATGCCGGATATTTGTTAAAAGTGGTTATGTATCATTGATAACAATCAATTATCAGAATGATAAAATGAAAACACATTTCTGGAAAAATAAAAAAGGAAAAGAAAAAAAGATAACCTAAGGAATGCGTTTTCTTTTTCACGATATTCATTAAGTTCACGTCGTTTACGTAAATCATTCTCGTAATTTTTCAATCGTTCATTTTTATCATCATTTTCATCACATATTATCACGTTACAATCTGTGGTCTCATTTGATATTCGATCCCATATTTGTTCATTCTTTAACTGGAAAAAGGAAAAAAAAAACGTCAAAATATTTGAAAAAGAAATTCATAATTTTCTCTTATTAACAGGATGAGTAACTTATCAAGCAGATAAGTGATAAGATTAGAATTTTACTTTCAAGTTAGTACACTTGTCAGCTTATACTTTCACAGGTATTAATAAGATTAAAACTACAGATGATAGAGAGGTTGATAAGATGATATGTTATGATAAGATAAAATTTTACTTTCAATTTAGTATAATTGTCAGTTTATACTTTCCAGGTTTCAATAAGATTAAAATTACACGTGACAGATTGATAAGATGATATGCTATGATACGATAGGACTTCACTTTTAATTTAGTACACTTATTAGGTTATACTTTTTGGGTATTAATAAGATTAAAATTACAATTGATAGGCAGACTGATAAAGTGATATGTTATGATAAAATAGAATTTTACTTTCAAGTTAGTACACTTGTTGGCTTATATTCTTTAGATTTTGATAAATTTATGAAAATAACGTCAAACTTACGGATGATACTGATAAGACAAGAGTTGTAAGGTATATGTTATGATAAGAGAGAATTTCATTTTAATTTGGTACACATTTTAATGTATACTTTTTAGCTATTAATAAGGTTAACAAAATAACATCAGAATTACGGGTGATATGGAAATTGATAAGAATGATAAGACAATATGCTGCTAAAGGAAAAAAAATTATGTGGAAAATTTTTGATAAATTACGAAAAATTTTATAAAAATCTAAAAATGAATATCGATCATAGCATATCTTAAAATATGAGATTAAAGTACGAAATAATCTTATCACTAAGTAATTATCATTTAACATATCAGATATTATCAATGATTATTGGCTTTTATATTAGGTGTAAAAAAGAAAACTTTGAAATAGCATTTACTAATATATTAATGAATTTATATGGGATCGAGAGAAACAGAGAGAGAGAGAGAGAGAGAGAGAAAATAAAAGTACTATATCTTAAAATTATGTAATTAATTATTTTTTCTTCTACGGTTTACTTTAATCAATTCTTTGATTGTTACTATCAAAAATATGCAACAAACCTTTATTTTATGGTAATTTTTTCAGTTTCATTTAATTGATTATTCGATAAAATTTATTTGAAATTAATAAAAATGAATTTAAATTTCTGCGAAAAAAAAATAATAAAAAGAATGAAAAAAAAACGAAAATAGAAAAAAGAAAAGAGAAAAAAAACAAAATTGAAAATTTTACATCATTTTGTGAATTTATGAATACATGAGATTTCGAATCTTTTTTCAACGTTCCATCAGTTAACATTTCCATATCATGAATACGAATATCCGGATAATTCCTGATAAAAAAAAAAAAAAGAAGAAATAACAATTGAAGAATCGTTACAGTGAATGAAATTATTTGAAATTGATTTTATCAAATTAATCAATTTAAATTGATATGATAAAAATTATACATAAAAAAGGAAAATGTTTGAAAAAATAATTCGGAAAATTAGACATGATTGATATTATGGATATAAGAGGCAATAAATTATTGTAATATTAAATTAATGATATCAATCATATAGTAAGATCCAGATGTCAACATATAAATACATATAACTCTTATATGTAAATTAGTTGTTGAAAGTTATTAAAGGAGTTAATCATTGATTAAAATCAAATGGATAAATTTGATAGTTTATCTTATCATAAGTTTATTTTTTAGAAACTTTTTAAAGAAATTATCTATCCTAATTTTACATAATTGTTGACAGAAACAAAATATTAAATATTAATTAAAAAATAAATATATTTCATCAATTCTTTGCAAATTTTTTAAAGTATAAAGAAAGAATGAAAAAGTTTTATCAAAAAGAAAAGGCAATAATGCAATGATAAAAATTTCTTCTGATAAATTTAATATCGTAAATATCGTTAAAAAAAATTTAAAAAAAAAGTTTAAATGTCACAAAAAAAAATTTGCATTTTAGATGTAACACTTTACATAGCTAATTTTACGACAATACTTTATTGCTTCATTGTTGCATATTTTACCTTGTGCTAATGACATATTTTTTCAATCTTTTTTTATTTCAAAAAAATTTGCAAAGAATTGATGAAATATATTTCTCAATTTGTCTTTATTTCCCAATTAATTTAACATTTTATTAATATATTTAATTTAAGCAATTAATATTCATTAATATATTTACTATAAGTAACCCATGAAATTAGTATGAGTAATTAATATTTATTATGAAATTAGTATAAGTTTGCTATGAAATTAGTATAAGTAACTAATATTTATTATGAAATTAGTATAAGTAATTAATATTTGCTATGAAATTAGTATAAGTAACTAATATGTAACTAATATTTATTATGAAATTAGTATAAGTAATTAATGTTTATTATGAAATTAGTATAAGTAATTAATATTTATTATGAAATTAGTATAAGTAATTAATGTTTATTATGAAACCAGTATAAGTAATTAATATTTATGAAATTGATGTAAGTGATTAATATTTATCATGAAATTTTTAATCATATGATAATGACATTAAATATATGATGCATTTTAAAAAAAAGTGGAATAAAATCATTGTTAAAAGTTAAGATAAAAAAAAAACCTTTTTAATGTATTAGTAATTTCATCAGCTTGTTGCTTATCAGATGATACAAGATAAGCATCCGAAATTGCAATCCCTGGATTAATTAACGAATTTGCTGTAATGTTATTATTATGAAATTAGTAATTAATAAATGAAACAAATTAAATTTAATTTATTCACTAAACAATCATTTATTTATTCAAAAGTAACAACCTGAAATTATAATTTATTTGCTCAAATAAAAATTAATCAAATGAATGAATACAGAAATAGATGTTAAAAAATTTTTT